CATGATTTAGCAGAGGGCTGTTAGAGTTAGGGTAGTATGGTTAGGTTGTGGTTGGTCTCGATGATCTTCAAGGTCTTTTCCAACCTGAGCGATTCTATGATTCTGTGATTCTAAATCTTATTTAAAGTGAAAACCTTGACAAGCTTTTGTCACTGACATCAAGTTTTAAATAAGGAAAACTTACTAATTTCCATGCTACCTATTTAAAGGCACATAGTCCAAAGGATTTAGAGTAGCTTGTTGAGATGTAAAAGAGCCACCTTCCCTTTGACAGTGAATGCAGAAATGTAAGGCCACATCCTTGTGCGTTTTACTGCAGTTCTCACCTCTTTGCTCTTTGTAAGTTAAGATGTTCAGTAAGTGTGGGCAGCACCTCTGCTGCAGCCAAATAAATATTTCCGTGTTAACCTGCTACTCCAGCAGCTGAGCAGGTAGTGGTGGTGAAGGGAAGGAAACTTAAGCCCTAGGCTTCCTGTAACAGATGTACTTTGGCTTGTGTTTTCTTGTATGATGCACTAAACCAGACTCAGCATTGTCTTTGCTGTTGTTGTTGCCTGAAGAGTTAGATTAGCTGTACCCACAAAAACTTGTATGTATAAGTTGCAGTTGCATTAGTTACATTAACAGGGAGCATCAGCAATGCTGGTATTTTTTATTGCTGCCTAATTGATCTACTTTCTAATATGAAGGAAAAGAGCATTTTGCCCAATGTGAGCTGTAGGAATAGAGAAGAAAGAGATGTAAGGGGCACATTAAAAACATGCAAGGAACTAGTCCAGTTTTGATATTTCTTCCCATATTATTTAAAGTGATAGCCCAAAAAGGGAAAAGTGCAAAGATTCTGAAATCTGTTTAGAGAAGAGCGTGTGGTTCAACAGAGTATCTAAAAATGATGCTTGCTGATCACAAAATTCACCCTCTGAAATGCATTTTGTAATACAAGAGTGTTGTGTGAAGATGGATAACTTTTTCAGCAGTTTAAAAATTGGGTTTAAATCAGCTTCCTTGAAGACTTGTGTTTAAAATTTGTCATGGACTTTCAAGGTCTTTATGTTTAGGCTGAAAAAAGCTCAAGTCTGATTTTGAGATGTTCTCATCTTTTCAGTAGCTGGAGATATTTTTGCGAATAGGGAGAATGTTGTGCACGATAACAGTAGTGACAGGGAAGTTTACTGTAAGTGGGGAAAAAAACCTCTCTTCAGCATGTTTCTTAAATTTACAAGTTATCTGTCAATTCTGAATGCTGAAGATAGGCCAGAAAATGCTGAGTCTTGTGGCTGTGTCATTCTGAAGCCTCAATGGTCCCTTAAATACTCAACTGTATCACAGTTGGGGCTGTTCAGGAACTCAAGGTTGTGTAACCATGGGTTCCTCCTCTTCCCCCTGGGATTTTACTGCTGAGCTCACAGTGGTACAGTGCGTGTGAAACTGACACAGCTGCAGGGCTGCTGGGAAGAAAGCAAACTATTCCAGCCAGACCCAGTACAGTGGGAAACACCACTTGTGTTTCTCCATTTAGGACATTGGAGAATCTTGATTAATTTATATGAACATATAAATATCTCAAATAGAGGGTTTTTTTGTTAAGATTTTACAGGTTTTTTTTCTCAGGTTTGTCAGTACTGTTACACTACTTAGTCTGCTACTCTGTTGCTTTAAGAAGTTTAAGAAGTTTTATTTCACTAAGTTATTTCTTAAATAAAGTTAATGAACATCTGAGAATAACAAAACTGTTCCTTTTCAAGAGAATAGTAACTATGGTATGTTATGATTTCACTGTTTGCTAACAAAATTTTAGGTTAGCAATCTTCGACCCAACTTATTGTAATAGACCTCAGACATGTAGAGCCCCCATTCTGATTGCATCTTATCAAAGGAGCATGTATGCATATGGGATACGATAGCTGAAAAACTCTGAGGAACAGGGAACTAGGCAGCTGGCCTGAAGAGCAGTGCCTAGCTCACAGACCGATGGGATGTGTAGTTGTAGTAGTCCAGCCACGTTTACAAATAATATGTACACAATGATAGTGGCAGTGTGAGCACCGTGAGGGGCAAAAATACGATACTCTACAGATAAAAAATATGATGCGTAGATACTACAGATAAATGAGTCCTGTCATCGTAGTAACACAGTGAGGGTGACTGTATTAAGCACCTGCATGAACAGTTACGTTATCTATAACAGGGTGGCTAAGGAAGTATGTAGAGTAAGTTTTTTGCTGTATTCAACAACTTTAGCTGAAACTCGATTAATATTTTGAGGCAGGTAGCCTGCAAAACTCCCTTCTAGTATGCTAAAACTAGTGTGTGTTGGTAGTGGGGTTTTCCTGTGCTCTAGCTATGTATGTAGTCCTTGGTGGGGTGGGGGAAATGATAGATCAAGAGGTTGCTGGCTTTTGTGCTGTTCCAATATTTGTATTCCAAATAGCCTTACTGTTAGTTCTTACCTAACTAGAGTTAGTTTCCCCATTGAAGATGGAGTGTAGTGTGGTTTGTCAATGTTGGTTTCAGTGAGTAATTGTTAGCTCTCTTGACCCCTGAAATCTAACTTTATGATGGTAGCAATTACTTCTAAAACTGCCAGATATCTTAATACTTACGATTTTGGAGGTCAAATAGTGAACATAAGGTAGTCTGACTTGCTGAGATCATGAACAAGACAAATTAAAAGCAAAGTGTCTACCCAGAACATAACTATTAAGTGGAAAGCCTTCTGCAGTAAAGACAGGGCTGTGTGAATGTGTGTTGGGATTTTGTACAGCGATTCCAAAGAATGGAGGCTAACTGAAAGGATTTCTTTCTTCCTTGTTTTGCTAATGCTGAACAGTGCTTGTGCACTGCCAAGACTTTTCCCATCTTCCTCCTCTCAAGTGAGAGAGGTGAATGGACAAGAAACTGAGAGGAGACAAGCAACTGCTGACACTGACTGACTATTCCATTACCAGTGTTGTGTTGTGCATTTAAAGTTCAAGGGTAAGAGATGGAAGCAGGGACATTGGTGTTCATGGTGTTATTTTCCAAAGCAGCTGTAAGGCTGAAGCCCTGCTTTCCAGCAGGTGGCTAACCTTCTACCTGCTGGTAGGAGGTAATGAGTAGATCCCTCTTCCTGCTTTGCTTGTGCGCACAGCTTTGATTTCACCTGCTAAACTGTCATTATTTGTAAGTTTTCTCACTTTTCCTTTGCCTTCATTCTGTATCACAGAAGAGCGAGTGAGCAACTCTGTGTTAGGCTGTCTGTTGTGGATTGATTCTAGCCAGTCCTAATCTAAAGATAGGAGAAGGAGGCACGACTTTCTAGGTCCAAGGAACGTATTTATATACTGCATTAATTATAATAATGCACAGTGCTTCAGTTATGGTTGTGGTCTGGATGTGCATCTGTCCTTAACAAGGGGGAAGATAATTGCTCTAAACCCTTTCCATCTTTTTCACTGTGCTTTCCTGCTTCTGACAGTTAATTATTTAATCGCTTTATTCCTTAGTGTTCAGAACTTGATGGAGTTTAAAGCAGTGCCTTTAAGGCTGGTGGTGTTGAGAGGTGAGATAAAAAAAAAAATGAGTTAAGAGAATATCACAGAATATCACAGAATCACAGAATATCCTGAGTTAGAAAGGATCCCAAAGGATCACTAAGTCCAATTTCTACTCCACACAGCACCACCCAAAATCAAACCCTATGTGTGAGAGTATTGTCCAAATACTGATTGAACTCTGGCAGCTCGGGGCCATGTCCATTGCTCCGGGCAGCCTGTTCCATGCCCACCAACCTCTGATGCAGAACCTTTCCCTGACCCCCAGCTCTCCCTTTCTTGACACAACTCCATGCCATTCCCTCAGGCCCTGTCACTGCCCCTCCGCTCCCTGTGAGGAGCTGCAGTCGCCATGAGGCCTCCCCTCAGTTCCTCTGCTCTGGGCTGAGCAAACTGGGGACCTCAGTGCTTCTCACATATCTTCCCCTCCAGACCCCTCGCCATCTCTGTAGCCCTCCATTGGATGCTCTCTGGTAGTTTTATGTCGTTCTCATATTGCGGTGCCCAGCCTTTCACGCAGCGCTCAAGTTGAGGCCACACAGTGCATAGCGGAGGCTATTGGTCTTGTTTAAAGTTCATGCAGTTGGTGATTGCCAAGTCCTCTCTTTTGTCAAGATCTTTCTGCAAGGTATTTCCTTCCTCAGGGGAGTCAACAGCTCCTCCTGCCTTAGTATCATCTACAATTTTACTTAATATGCATTTGAGTCTTGAGTCATAAATTGCACTCAAAAAAAAAAAAAACCTTGTAAAAAATTTTAAAAGGCATTTGACTTGAAATTACTGCAGTCAAAGAACCCAAGTGGAGCTAGACTTGATTCTCTTACAGGTGTGTTTGGGATTTCAGGACAGCATACTGTATGTAAGTCTGTCTCATCATGCCAGCACAGCTGAGAAACAATGGTAAAGTTCATAAATTGTCTGGATGCTGGAATACATCATGGGTATTTTGATCATTTGACTTTGTAAATGCCTGTATAATTGCTCCCCAAGAGCTCGCGTGCTAGTGTTTTGGAGTCTGTGCGTATATAGGTATTAAAGGATTTGTTTCATTAATATAAGATTACTCTGCATTTAATTTCAAGCTAGTTACACATGCTTTTCTTAGTAGGTTTTTAATTGGAGAGAAAGGGGTATCTTCTGATTTTTGCTGATCTTTGCAGTTGATGCGTAGCCATATAAAGCGTTATTCGAAGCGTAAACAAAATCTTACTGCTACTCATAAGCCAGCTTCTAAAAGTTTCTTTGGGGTGTGTTTTCCAGCTAACTGAAATGTTATATGATGCTAGTTTTAAGTAGAAAGTCATAAATAAAATGGCTGACCACATTAGCAGTAATTAGATGTCTTGGAGAAGGAGCTGTCAGCCTTTTTTCAGATGTCCTTTTGTTTAGAATAGAATAATGCAAAAGAAAATCGTCACAGTATATGGAATTTTGAAATTAACTACTATATTTTCACATTTCTCTTAGGTCCACGATGGGCTTCATGGAACACTGGTGTTTTTATTTGCATCAGATGTGCTGGAATACATCGAAATCTTGGGGTCCATATATCAAGAGTCAAATCTGTCAACTTGGACCAGTGGACATCTGAGCAAATACAGGTAAAATGCTGATGTGTTTTCAAATTGGAAGGAATTCTAGGAATACTTTTGAAAGGATTGGGTTTATCGTGTTTTACAAGCAAAGGATAGAGGCAGGAGATATACAGTGATTTTCAAATGTTTTAGGGCAACTGTTCAACAAGATAACTTACTACCTCTGCACAGACAGGAGAATTACATGATCAAAAAAAGATACCTGTGGTTTTTAGGAGATGTATTTAAGAGTATTCTACCTTCCCTTCCTTTCAAATGTGGTTCTATATTAATGAAGTATTGCATGTTCTCTTTAGATCTTCTGATTGTAAGCAGAGGATGTCCTTTATAGACAGTGCAAGAGATTTTTCAGTTTTCATTCCATGGGACTGAACAGATTTTAGTCAGCTATAACCAATTCACAAATACGTACTATATTATTTAAACAATTTTGTGAATAATTTTGTTACGTAATTTGAACTCCTCTCAAGCGAGGATCAGAAATACTCATGATCATAAGAATCTGTGGTATGCTGAATGAGTTTGAGAAGCTGAAGCTTGTTAAGTGCAATAATAGTGGGACAGTAAAGTACTTTAAAACCTGCAGCGTCATTCAGTCACACCTTTAGCTTTCTGACTGTATCAAGTAGATACTTGGAAATATGCAAGGGTCATGAACTAACTGTTTTCTACAACATTTCCTTAGTGCATGCAAGAAATGGGAAATACTAAAGCAAGACTACTCTATGAAGCGAATCTACCAGAGAACTTTCGAAGACCTCAAACAGATCAGTATCCTTTTTGCTTTAGTTTTCATATTGAAATTATTTTAAATGCAATTTAGATGTTATTACTATTTCAAGAAAATTCTCCATTTGGCAACTCATTATTTCATTGATACTGGCATGTAAGAAAAAGCAGTAGAAGTTGGGAACAGTTCAGAAAAGGTTTAAATTGCTTCAGTTATAGCAAATCTACTTTGCAATGAGATTTGGCAAGCCTCATTTATTTTTACTGTCAAAAGAAGTGACTGCATAAATCCCATATATGTAGGAAGTTGGAGCGATACCAGGGAGCTCTCAATTCTGTCTTTGTCTTGAATAACTGCCAGCTAAAGTTAGAAGAATTTGAACAAGGTGTAATAAGCTGAGTGGTAATGTAAAATAAGTCACTGGATCTTACACAAGTGAAGAACAGATTTCTTTCTCCAGATTAACTGTATGGTTTTCTGAAGTTGCAGTGTATGTACTCTGTGAACTGTATGAGCACAGACGATTAGCATGGGAATTTCTGAATAAACCAGACATCTGTCAGCTGCCACTTATGCTGGTGTGTGTTTATCACCAGGTATCTGGAAGAGGAGGGGTTGGAGTAAAAATTATCTGCCACAAATAATTCATTTTCTTCAAAAATAATCTTTCTGAAATGTATGGAATCGGTTGTAAAGCTTATAGTAGTGTTAATTTAGATTTGAATTAGCTTCTGATTTAGTGATGGTACTCCACAGGTAGGATTTGCTTCACTTGATCTTACTGGAACTCTTCATTATAATGAGATCTTAAACCTTACTGTTAATCGAGCTGAATCTTGTCTTGCTCTCATAGGTCTAATATAGGCTATGGAGGCTGACAAACCGACTTAGCTTTAACTGGATCTGAATTTTCTCCATCTCTATATAAAAGCAATTTTGATTCTTCTGTTTATTAGATAGTATGCTTGACGTGCTATGTATCAAGAGATTTTCTTTTAAATGGTTGCAGGCGTAATTATAATGTGCATTTGAGCAAATCTGACGAGTTTCTGATATTCCAGTAACTTTTGAGTTAAATGTGCCTAGGCATAATTAAAACAAACAAACCTGGAACTACATAGCACAGTAGTTTTCCAACTGTAATACTGTAAAACTTGATATCTATCATAAGACTGAAGTGCTTAGATTAAAACTTATTTAAAACTTGACGATGTACATTTTGTACTGCAGCTAACTTGAATGTAATGGTGTTATTGCAGGAGAACTAATAATGCTGTGCTTGAAGCTTTTGTTCCGAGTAAAGCCAAAAGTAGCTTTGTTGCACAGTAAATCTCTGGCAACTGAGAAAATCATCACTTTTGCCTTTCCAGGCTTATTTAAAACTTTTGGTTAACACTGGAGATAATAATTTAGTCTTTTGTCAGTTTCTAAAGGTGACATTTTAAACTGAGTTTATTTAATTTCACGTCCTCTTTATTAAAAAATACAGTACTGGGAAAGAGGATGGTGACATTTTCTGGTTTAACTCTCTTCCTTTCAGTTTTGGCAGCTGTATAGCTGCTTGACATTGGTGACAAGCTGCTGTGATACAGATTTCTTTGTGCCATTCATTTTTGATGTTTTGTATCAGAATAAAATCATCGTTGTCTTGCAAGTATTCTGCTTGTTAACATTCATAATATTCTGAATCATCTTTTGGGTGAACTGTGAAAACCCATTGCTATATATTGATTGAATTTGTATATATTATTCCATGCTAGCTTTTAGTTTCCTGTAGTACTGGGATGTACTCATACTTCTGCTTTTGAGGAAGCTGAGTGGAGACATAGGAAACTTAGAGGAGGAAAATCTCTGATAAAAATCCCCCAGTCACTTCTAGTTCTTTACCACAAGACTGACCTTTCTGGGCATGTTTTCATCTTCTCTTGTGCCTGGCAGGAGACCTCTGAGAATCATCTTGATGTTTGTATGTGGGCACTAGTTTCCTCTTGTTTGAAAGTATTTTTGTTCCAAGAGCAGGTTAGATCTTTTCTTTTGGTCTCTTCATTCTTTTTTTGCCTTTGAAATCAGATTTGGCATCTGTGTTAAATTCTGCTAATAAGAGCTCAGGAGGTTACTGACCAAAGGAAACTTTGTTGGTGTTCAAAAATTCATGTATGTTGATGTGGGTTACCTTGAATGCATAATACACAACTGAATACCCCAAAGTAATAGCATCCTGAAAAAAATCAACCTTGTGAAACTTGAAGACTTCTGATTGTGTTAATACTTTTAAAATTCAGACTTTATAACTGCCCCATATATCAAGTGTTCAGTCTGGGAAACTGGAAAAAAAAATTTCTCCCTCTTGTCTTCACACTTAATTTATGCATTACAGCAAGTAATTTGTAATGCAAATTGAAAATAACATTTCTGAGGTAATTCTGTTTATTCTTAATTAAATATGAAAAATTATGGGTACTGCATACTCTGTGGCTTCCATTCATCTACTATTTATTTTTTACCTTGATTTTGGGCAAAATGTCAGTCCTTCAGTACGTGTGAAGAGCCACATGTATATAGCTATCTTAAGGCTGATATTTCGGAGTGCATGAGGTACTCTGTAGGATGCAAATACATTTGAAAAGAGGTATGAAAGTGTAGGGGAACTGTGAGGTCAGGGCTTGAACTGGTCACTGAGCACCTGGTGAAGGGGTGTGATTGGCCCAGGGAACACAGGTACGTTGTTCCACAAGAAGAGGTGGGCCCAGGATGGAGCTATGCTGGGTTCATATAAGGGCCAGCCACTAAAGGGAGAGTGTCTGTCGGGTCTAGGCTGCTTTCTGACAAGTAGTGCTGAAGAGAAGAGAGCCCCTTCGCGACAGCTGTGTGAGTTGTATTCTTCTTTCTGGATATGAGTACTGGTCTGCCTGTGAATACTTTACTTGGTGTTGCCAAGAACCTGTCAGAAGCAATTTTGCTTCTTCGTAAGCAGTACAGAAAGAATATTTTGTTATTGCAGCTTTTTATGAAGCAGGTGTTTAGGTGGTGCTTGCACACCACTTGAAACTGTTATTGTTGAAGATAAAATTTGATGTGCAGAAGGAAGGAACTGAGTGTAGTGAGCTCCCTGCTAATCTTAAGAGATTGTGAATGGAACTAAAGTATTTTTGCATTGACTGAGGGGAAAAAATATGCAATGAAAAGATGCAATGAACCTCAGCTTCCATAGTTGAAACTTTGATTTCAAAATTGGATGATATTGCTGAACAGATTAGTTAAAATTTATTTTACAGGTACTGCAGAGTCAGCATTAGTGAAGTTAAAATATTCACTCTATTTTGGATGAGCTGCTTTAGTGGGCTGAGATAATGCTTAAAGAAAATAGCTAGTGCCCTATCTGTGCTTGAGCTAATGAGTTGTATGTTCTGGTTTCAGTTATGTTTGTGCAACTTCTCTGTTCAAATTGAAAAACAGAGATATACATTTCTTTTGAAGAGCAAGTGTTTTTTCCAAGTTATGATCATAAACTGTGCTTTAATTACTTGCTCTACATGAGTACCTTTGTTGCAGGTTTTTGCAGTGCTGCAGCTTATAAATACTAACTGCAAATATCATGGCTGTGGAACACTTGGCTACTTCTAGTATATCCTTCTGATATTGTTTCATTACACGATTAAACTGATTAATTTTCTGCAGTGAAAGGATGCACTTTTTTGATGATGAAGTAGTAACTCTGTAGAGTGCTTTCTGTTTTGTTGTTTATTATTTATTGTGATTGAGTGAACAGAATTTGCTGCAGTTCCTTGATCTGAATAACCCGTCTGCCTTTTAGGTTACTGGTGCTGTTTTCTGAACACATGTTTTCCTTAAACTAGCTATTTTCAGAGCCGTGGAATTTTTCATCAGGGATAAATATGAAAAGAAGAAGTATTACGATAAAAATGCAGCTAATGCCTTCAATGTAAGTAAACATTTTTGCTAAGAATTCTGTCACTTTTACTTGAAAGTTACGTGAAAGAAATATAGAAAACATTACCTGTGTTAAAATGTCCTTTGTGTTAGAAAACTTTCTGATACAGTAATAAATGCTTTCTTTTATCTCTTGAAATTTGATTCCTACATCCTTCAAGTACAATGTGCATTGTCTGTTACACTTGTAACAGCAAACCGTTATGACCCAAGCAATAGCTTTCTTCAGAACTTGTGTATTGTGGTGTTCTGCTCTTTTAGTGATGGATAGTTCTTTAACAGTACGCTTGGGAGTTCTTTCTGTGCATCTCTTTCAGTGTTACAGGAATAAAATGGGATTACTGTTCCTGTTGTCTTTTTACTCGTTCTTTGTAGTACCTTGATGAGAGATTTGAAGATGTTGTAGGTCCCTGTTCTGTGGGTCTTGTCGCTCTGCTAAATGCTAAAACCTTGCTTCCAGTGAGGTGCACTGTGACAGCAAACATGGGCAATAAGACATACTGGCTGTTTAATCCAATAGCTTTTGTGTGTTTGCCGCAGTAAGCTGATAAGTGACTTTCTTACAAAGCAATTTTAAAATGTAAGCTAGAATCACAAAGGTTTAAAGAGGCCTCCAAGATCACCTACTTCAACTGTCCATTTACCTCCAATATTTCCCTGCTAAACTGTGTCCCTTAGTACAACATCTAAATGTTTATTTAATGCTTCTAGAGATGGTGACTCAACTGCCTCCCTGGGCAGCCCATTCCAGCTGCCAGCTTCCCCAGGAGAATGCACTGTGGGAGACAGTGCCAAAGGCTTCGCTGATGTTTAGGTAGACTATGTCAACAGCCCTTCCTTCACCCACCAGACAGGTCACTCAATCATAAAAGGAAATCAGGTAGATCACACAGGACCTGCCTTTCATGAACCTATGCTGCCTGGGTCTGATCCCCTGGTTCTCCCACACGTGCTGTGTGATCTCGCTCAAGATGATTTTAATGAAGTACAGAGTCTTACTATTTTTCTTGATACAGCTGTTTATGGAGCATAGAATCTGGTTCATGCTTCTTAATTTTTATACGCATATATGTATGCTTAAACTCTTATATGTCTGCATTATTTAAGTATGGCCTAACACAAAACTTATTGGTCAACCTGACTATTGAGTGAACTTTGTTAGAGAATGAGTATCAGGATGGGAGTAGAGACTGGGTATTTATCCTACCTTTGCCATCTGAGAAAGTGGGTCTTTGAATGATATTTTTATTTTAGAAGGTTTGAACAGCTGCAAACTAGGGAAGTCAAGAGAAGCTCTTCCGAAGTAGAGGGAAGGTTACTTCATGTAAGCTACAGTTTACTGCTGTTTACTTTGATCCCAAAGTAGAAGATGATTTTAAACAATTTGTTGCCATGCTTCTTTAAAAGACTTCCAAGGTCATTTTAAACAGTGAGCCTAGCTGTTGAGTGTGACAATCTACTTCTGCTTTAGTATATTTGAATTAGTAATCAGATTTTGCTTATAGTACTGCAGACTAATATAAATTGTTTATTTGTCCTAGCATTAAGAATAGAATCCAGAAAAGCTGGAGAGATGAATGTTACTGCTGACTAGGAAACAGCATTTTATTTCATTTTGCCTGAGCTTTTCTTTCATTGACTTTCATAAATTGCATAATTTGTCTAATATAGGAACACAATCTGATTTTGAAATACTTAAACAATAGATGAGCCCTGCAAATTCACACAAGTGTGGTGCCTGCCTCCCACCCTGCTACTTGTTTTCATCGGTTTTCCTTGGCTCCCAGCCCAGCTCTTACGCACTTGTATCTCTATGTTGTTCTGTGATTATCTTTTAAGTGAGCCTTGAACTGACAGGAAAGAGGAAGAAAAGGTGGAGGTGGGTGTTCTTTTGGCATGTCCAGTATGCTTCTTTCCTTCTCCTGGATGTGTTAGTCAGTGAGGAAGCAAAGTGACAGAACAGGCGTCTGTGGGCACAAACCAGAACATTGGAAGTTCCATCTGAACATGAGGAAAAACCCCTTTGCTGCAAGGATGATCAGGCATTGGAACAGCCTGCCTAGAAAGGTTGTGGAGTCTTCTTCTCTGGAGATATTCAAGACTTGCCTGGACATACCTTCCTCTGCACTGTTTAAGCAAGGAATTGGACTTGATGATCTCTAGAGGTCCCTTACAACCCCTGTGGTTCTGTGGTGTGTGTACTATCATTTCTATAAACAAGTCAAACAGGTGCAAGAGCAGGCTCACCAGGCTTTGGGGTTGCTTTCCTTAATCATAGAATGACAGAATGGCCTGAGTTGAAAAGGACCACAATGATCATCTAGTTTCAATCCCCCTGCTATGTGCAGGGTCACCAACCACCAGACCAGGCTGCCCAGAGCCACATCCAGCCTGGCCTTGAATGCCTCCAGGGATGGGGCATCCACAGCCTCCTTGGGCAACCTATTCCAATGTGTCAACCACTCTCTGAGTGAAAAACTGCCTCCTAACATCTAACCTAAGTCCAGTAATTTTGCTGAAGTGGTACCAAAAACCTCAAGGGTGATGTTCCCAGATCTGGTCTTACTATTCATGGTGCTTGTGATAAAAGCTAAAAGTTGCATAAAAATTGTACACTTTGAGAAAAAATGTTCAAAACCATATGCTGTTTTTCTTAGATTAATTTCATCATAAGATTTTCAGGTTTGTCTCACAGTGCAATGTCTGTGTTAATGTATTCTGCCTGTTGAAATCAGGAGCATATATGTCAAGTTCAGTTCCTGACTCCACGATGCTCAGGCTTCTTGTATCAAAGCGCAATTAGTTGAGACAAAACTGCTGTAATGATGAATTTGGTTTTGAGAAGCCCTTATTGTGAAAACAAAGTTACCCACTGGCCAGTAGGGCTTTCAAATATGCAGGCTCAAAATAAGCATGTATGAAAAGTAAATTATGGGCTTTTTTTTCAGTCAAGAAAACTGAAAAGCAGTGCAGAATAAAGCTACAGCACTACATTTTATTGGCTAGTTACATTTTAAACAGAATAATGCATTTCAGCAGAAATCAAATAGACTCAGGATTGTAAGTTTTTCTAATTTCTGACTTAAAAATATTTCAATTTTCTGTACAGGGAATATTTGAAATGCTGATTTTTGTATCCATGCTCAGAACTAAATAAGTGGAATAATTTACTCAGCTCTTTGAAGTTGGATTACCCGTACACAGTTGCTTGCTTTCGTGCTTAGACACAATATAGGCTTGAGAATTCAGAGCCTGACATCCTTTTAAACAGCATGATGTGTGGTTTTGGGGGTGGTAGTACTGATTTTGTTTTGTTCAGCTGTGGGATGCAGCCCAATATCCACTAGGGCTAATCCTAAACTAAGTTCTTAAGCTTTTTTCCTCGAGAAAAATCTCTGAATGCTGCATGAATGGTAGACCCTAATTGTCAAAGTGAGGCACTATATCAGGTTAGGGAAGTAAAGAGCTTATGAAGGCGATCATGCTAAGCTTGTTCCTTTTCTTAACTTTACTTTCATGTGTACTTTAGGTGAAACCAAAAAGCAGTAACTGTAGTTCAGAGTAAGCAATGCAATTTGAATAAATCAAGGTGGGGGGGAAGAAAAGCCATGAGAAGAATTTTGAGGAAAAATACAGTTAAGATCAATCTGACAATTTAAGGAGTAAGGTAATGTGGATGAGTTCTGAGTGCCTTTCATTTTATTGTTTTAATATTTAAACTTGAAACATTCTAATAATTCAAAAGTTTGAATGTTTGTGTTTGCTGCTTCATTATACTGTAATACCAGGAGAAAAGGATTTAGAAAAAACATCTAACAGTGCATTTGTAGAAATAATTTATTTCCAGATTAATGATTACTTGACTTTTTCATGGATTATTTTTCTAATTTAACTGCTGCCACTAATTTAAAGGTGCACTATTTGACTTGTTAAAGTTCTGTTCTGATGTACGCAGAGAAAAAGAACGGTAAATAAATTAGATCACCAAATGAAGCAAATATTTTACTTTTTGTACCTAGTGGGAGTATCTTCAGACAAATGTACTGAATATGAGTATTGTAATATGCTGCTGACTTTGCACAGCTGTGAGCTGTATCTTTTCTGTGTATCAGTTTTTTAAAATCTGGCCCGATGCAGGGGATGAGCAACAAGCGTGGAATGAGGCTATAACTTCTGTAAGTGCCAGACAGACAGCCCAATTTATATCAAGCTTAATAAGCAGGAGTATCCTTTTTTTTTTTTTTTTTTTTTTTTTTTAAGTTAAGGTTAGTTTAGGGAAATGTAATCCTCAAGAAAGCCCTTAAGGCAGACGTGCTGTTTTACTCACAGAAGCAATTACCTTTTAGCCAGCCCAAAGAATGGAAGGTTGTAACTTCTGAAAGTGTCATACAGTTGTAATAATCTGTAACTGCTTACATACAATTGTAGGTTTCTGGTATTATGGCTATGACTTTGCAGGCAGCTATCTGGTATTCATTATGTTTAGGAAAATGTATACTTATTATCAAAGTACATTCTAATTAAACAGTATAGCCTGTGACAGTTAGAAGTAGTATTTGTCAGGCCAGTGCCTATCATAATTCTCTTACAACATCTGTCATGGTTTTATGATTTTTGGTCATCAGTATTCCACACCATAACATCTTGTAATGCACTGGGGGGGTATGACTTCTGCCGAATGTTCGTCCGATGGAGAAGCACTACATTTCCCCAGGAGGCTTTGTGGTCAGTGAGGAGATATAACTCCAAGCAAGGTCACCTGATTCCTCTTCTTCGCCCTCTGCGCTTTGCCATCTGCTTTTCTTCAGTCACTCAACTGGACTGCACGTCTCACCTCAGCATTGTGGTGAGGTCTATCTACCATCCAGACAGACTCTCTCTCTCTCACTGTATTTTTTGCTAATACTATATTCAGTAAATCATTTGTTCCACCTCAGATTATTGCTGTTGTTTTCAAGTATTTTGGGGTCCCTGGTTTCCCCTTTCCTAGAG